TTTAAATATAGGCCTTTTGACTAAATTGAAGCACGACGTGAAAGATTTTAAAGTCCGAATTTTCGGCTATACCTGTGTCCTTTTTCAATAAGACGAGAAATAAAGCAAAGAAGTGGAACCCACTCTTCCGGGGAATGTTTTTGTTGTTGTTGGTGGTGGTGGTGGTTAAAGTGTTTCTTGTGGAAATTATATTCTCTGAGTAAATCCAAATCCCTTTTTAATCCTTTAATGTGCGATTCTATTTTGAAAATATATTTCAACTCTGATCTGCGTCTTTCTTGTCGACTGTTAAATGAAGACGCTAAAAGCACGCATCTGACGTCATCAATGCTATGGAACGGCTGGTTGAAGTGTGCAGTGATAAGGAAAGATTGTTGTTGTTGCCTTTAATACTTATTGAACTCGTTCCGACGAACGGTTTATGCATGTAATTTTAATGTCATGCGTGAGACTTGAATATTATGCACGAGACTTTAATATTAATCACGTATTGCTTCCCTGTCACCTAAAATCCTCAAAAATGTAAATGCAAGACCAATCGCCATCTTCTGTTCATTTACTACCCTTTTTCTTCACTTCTCCTCACTAAAGTCTTCTCATGCACTTTGACGCTAGTAACCTCTTGTGATTTAGTGGCATGATTAAATAAATAAGCACAGGACAATCTTCAAGGATGTCAAGAAAGTGTTAAGTGCTCTTTGGTCAACACAACCCCAATGTCATCTTTAAAAAAAATAACTTCGAAAATGAAATCGTTTGGTTTCGAAATATTTTATCTCAACATTTCTATTCACTTGATTTAACATTTTCAAATGTTCTTTTCTTTAGTCCACTGGAAAATTTCTTTACCCATTAATGTCCACCATAAAATCCGGTATTAAGTAGAAAAATTAAAATCCAGTATTAATTATATGTTTCGATCTATAACCCATTAATGTTCATCAGGGTTGTTGTACAATGCAAATTAATAATTTCTCTTCTTCAGCGCGACTTCTGCTCAGGTACATTTGTGTTTCTTCAGTACCCCCCCCCATGCCAACATGTCGTTTATACTGCAATTATGCAACTAGAAGCTTAATTACAGTTCAATTTATCCATTTTTAATTCAAAGTTGTCCTTCTAGTGTGGCTACCAACAGAAAGTGAGATTAATCTTCAGGATGATAATATAAACCCAATTAGTAATGCCCAAAAAGGTCAATATACGATCAGTTATGACTTTTATGCGTGACACAATGAATATTCTGAAGGTATCGCAATACTATAAATTTGTAAAGAACACAATCATCATTATTAACAATAGCAAAAGCCAATGATTAAACATTCCAAAATTCTTTATAAAAATAATTTGAGATTCTGAATGAAAAATTTATGTGGAAATTTAAACCAGAGCTTCATTCTTATATGTTCTTAAGGTATTAGGGTTTTTTTAATGTTGTTCTATAAATGCTTCGTTTGTTCAACAAAATGTAGATTATTTTTCAGAATGAGAATATAAACCCAGTTAGTGAGTCAAACCAGAGATCAAATTGTTACCTTGGGGAGGAATGCATTGGTATTCACACTCATTTGACTCAAACCTCCAAACTTACATTTATTCAGATTTCTGGAAAATTTACATTTGGAAAAGTAATGAAGAAATCATCCTAGCATTATAAGAATTCTTTTAATCTGAAATTTCAAAGTCTTTAAAGAAGAAAAAAATGAATTCTTGCTATTTGATAAGTTTTGAAAAATTTAACTCATTATTAATTAATAATTTAATGTGACCACAGCGCGTCTTTAAATGTAGCGGTAGTTTTCATACAAATTGTTACCTGCATTTCTAACTCGCAATGAGCATGCGCACTTGTACCACACGTCTTAACTATCTGCGCAAAATACAAGCTTTGATTTCTGTATTTGTAGGAATGCCTCCAATTTAAATAGGACGCGATGTTGAGCGTACAAAAGGAAGTCTTGCAAGCGACGAAAAAGATTAATCGGAAATTGGCCGGTTCAAACAAGATGGCGTTATGTTTATTCATCTTAATCATCTGGTTTTATCGGATGCACACCGACAAGTAATTGTTCTTCCGACGAAGAAGGCGCAGGCTAAGGTAGACACCTCTGTTTACTTGTAATCTGATATATATATATATATATATATATATATGTGTGTGTGTGTGTGTGTGTGTGTGTGTGTGTGCTGTACGTAGTGGAAAGTGGTCACTATCAGTGATAGAGCTAAAATATTCAGTTATATGGATATCCATACAACTGAGGATATATATATATATATATATATATATATATATATATATATATATATATATATATATATATATATATATACTAATTCCTACTGTTTACAATATATATATATATATATATATATATATTGTAAATAGTAGGAATTAGGTTACTCCATATTCAATATTACGGAGTAATCCTAATTCCTATTGTTTACAATTTATATGCTCTGTTTGAATAAATCTTTCAGCTCTCTGTGTGAATCAATTTTATTTTATATTATATTAATAGGATTCATTTGGATTATATATCAATTTTATTTCTTATACATACATACACATATACACACATGCATATATATATATATATATATATATATATATATATAGAGAGAGAGAGAGAGAGAGAGTCCGCCAAAAATGTATGCACACTTCCGAAAATGAAAAACCTGTACAGCTATTAATACAAGATACAACTGGACTCTACAATCACAAGAGATGCTCAAAATGGTAGACATTAACTTCCAGACATTAGTACAGCAAACTAATGTTTGGGTAACGTTAGCCAAAGTGGCCAGTGGTACTGCCGCACACGCATTTTCAATTTCTTTTCTAAGGGCCGCCAATGCTATCGGTCGAGGAAATATCATACTACTCTGCACTAGAAATCGACAGCTATTTTGTTGCCATTTGAAAGAATGCTATTATCATTTTATACAAAAGATTTTTCGTCTTCTTCCTTGAATATTCAGTGTTGATCTTATATGGTATTTGTGGCAGCAATCTATTCGGTATGGATGAATTACGCATGCGCACTAATTATTTGCGGATGTATCGCCATATTGTATCTTTGTCCTTCTTCAAATCTGGATTATTCTTTTTTGTATAAAGTAGTAATAATCTGTATTGTCATAAATAACATTTTTCTTACGCGTAATTAATCTTTGCATAACTATGATTTCTTTCTGTTTCGTATACCCATCAAGTTTTACATTTTTTTTTACGTAAGAGAAACGGTATATTCTGTTGAATAATGTTCACTCTGTACAAGGCCCATGAGCCACACGAGGTAGAATGTTACAGAGTAAGAGGCAATTTAATTTAATTTGTTTTGTTTCGACACTTCTGGTGTCTTATCAAGTGATGCTGTTGAATCTCACTTGATAAGACACCAGAAGTGTTGAAACAAAATGGCTATTTTTGTAGTGATTTTTAACATATTTATGTCATAATTTTCGAATAAATAATTATATATATATATATATATATATATATATATAGGAGAAGTACTCAGCGACTTGATACTAAAATTAAACATGTTCCATTGAAAATCAGGAACTATACCTGGCAACAAAATGAACTCATCTGCAATGCTTATTGTTCCTCAATTTGAGAACATCTGATAAATAGCAGAAAGTGTGCTATGGAATATAGTGAGGATTGGTTCCCCGTTTTAGCCAATTCACATTCACTTTTTTTTATGAAAATACTAGAGTCGATTTACATCAGTTTTCGCAAACCCTCGCAGTGTAAGCAACGAGATTGTTTGCTAGGCCCTTGCTGTGATCAGTCTCTAATAATTCTTTTCCTTTTCTTCCCCCACCCCCATTCCCATCATTGACTATTTTGTATCGCATATTTATTATATTTTACTTTAAATTCTCCCGATAAAAGAAACTTTGATGTGCGGGAACGAAACCGGTTGTTTTTTCCCTCTTTTCTATCCCTCATTATGCCTTGTAATGTTAAACTTAATACTTTTAAAGCAATATATATATATATAAAGCAATATATATAGTTATACTTTTAATATTTAAAAACAACCCTAAAATATATAGATAAGGAGGTGTAAGTGTTAAAAAGAAAGAGAGTTCTGAGAACAGGGGACAATTATAAGATATAATTGATATGGCGTAAAAATGAAAATATAAAATTAAGTATACATTCGACATTTGAAGAGTTAGAGAAATATAGTTGCTAATAAAGTAAAATCTGTATTATGGAAATTTGAATTTGTTTTTATGTCGACATTTTAATACTAATTCTTTCCTTTAATTCAATAGTTGGCTTTGATTAATGTATTTTATAATTCTATTTTTTTTCTTCTAAACACAAGTTACACCTATCTCTAAGACAGTTAGGAGTGTGAACGAAACCTATAATTTTCCACTCCATCTGTCGGTTCAAACCTTTCTCCCTCAGTTCGCAAAATTTCTTTTAAGAGTTATCTGGTGTTTTAATTTAGGGTTGGTAAAAGTTTGCCTATGGGTATAAAATCTCTGTTTCCATTCCCCGTAGAAATTCCAATGTAAATATTATAATTTTTCATATTTTCTTCGGGAGAAATTTGATATATAACCTTTATAGATCTGCATTTGCCCTCTACTGGACAATTTTCTTTATATCTACAATTACATGAGGGTTCAATACTAGGTTTTTTGTTTATCCCATAGTAATTTCTTAAAATATAGTTATTATGTGAGTTAATCATTTTATTGGTGCAGGAATAGCTAATTTTAATCGCTTTCCCATTGAAGATCTTACTAACGTTAGAAAATAATATACTTTAGATATATATATATATATATATATATATATATATATATATATATATATATATATATCATATTTGTGATTTGTGGGTGATAAAAATATAATTTCAAGGTATGCGATTTTTAAGTGCTCAATAACATTCATGCAGAATGGTGCACCGCCCAATTTTTCTCTTACTGTGCGTGCGTGGTTAGACCAACATTTTCTAGGACGTTGGATGGGACGATACGGACCTCAGATAAGTCCAGATCTCACTCCATATGATTTTTACCTGTGAGGTTATATAAAAGAGAAGGTATACAAGACAAAACCTGGAGGACTTAGAGATCCGGATTCAGGAGATTCTCAATGGTATCCCAGAGGACTTCCTTCAGAAGGTTGTCCGTTCCATCCCTGGCCGTTTGAAGAAACTGGTTAACACCACCGGTGCTTATGTTGAAATATGAAAATTTACTTTCATTTTCCCATGTAATAAAGAACATTTATCATTTGTTTCAATAAATTTGTAATAGGAATATGGATTTTATTACCAATTTTAATGCCTGCTTACTTTTCAGCCACCCTATATATATATATATATAGTTGAGCAACCACTCATGGTCTGAAGATTGCGTTCAAACATGAAACACACTGTCACCACTCGCTGTTACCCTCAGTGTCCACTCTGATCTTTACGCTCATTCTATCCTGGACATTGAGTATTTTTGCCTATAAGTGTAGCATACCTTAAAATTATATTTTTATCACACAGATTCATGCATGCATACATACATATTGAGCACTATGGAGAAAGGGAATTTTTAATGTCTGACGATACTGCTTAACGCATAGCTCTTCGTAAGAATTGAGGGCCTTGACTGCTGGTCTAGCATTTATATACATTAAAAAAATTATCTATCTCTGTGCGCTGATAGGTTAGGGGTAAGAGTCTCTGACTGATGCCAAAGCTATAACTGCTATATAACGATAAAAAAAAATACTACGTTAATCAAAAATTGAATACCGAATAGAGTAAAAAATATACAAAATAAAAATAAGCAAATAAATAAGAAAAAATAAGTAAAAATTAATCCAAATAAATAAATGAATTAAATTAACAAATCACTCCTGCTAAAATAGCCGTTAGTGCTAATAAAAATAAACATAAATAAGCAAAAACAAGTAAAAATGATCAAATAAATAAAATAATATACAATTTAAAAACTGTCCCCCGCCAAAATAGCAGAATAGACTACGGGAATCAATCCAAAAATTGGACGAATAAATAGCTTTATCTTCCCAGACCAAAACAAACTATTAAATAAGCGACCTAAACAAATCCCCACAATTTTTTTACTACGTTAATAAAACATCTAAAACCGAAAAGAATAAATAAATATATAAAATAAAAAATGAAAATAAAAAACAAGTAAAATAAATTAACCCAAATAAATAAATAAATAAGCTACTCCCGCCAAAATAACCACCAGAATGGATTACTCAGAATGCACCACTGACCTATATATATAAATAGTGGGAAAAAATCCAACACTCGCGGCCTGACGATTGCGTCTAGCATGAAACAGCCTCTGAGTGTTGCCTTCAATTTTCATATATATATATATATATATATATATATATTGTCTTAACTTATATTATGATATGTCCACACACAAATTCAAACATATCTAAATACATGTATATGTATCTACATATATGTGTCTTTGTGTACAGGTCTTAATGTGTATATGACACAGAGTTGCTACCACCTTTTACACACGTGATTGACATATCTATGCATAACATTGTGCTTCATTAAAGAGACTGACAAAATAATTCGGTTAAATAGCTTGTTTTCGACATGAGACATGCAATCAAGGTGTTTTCAGTATCTCTTTATGCTTTTGGATTTCATTATATAAATGTTCTATTTCATTTTTAGCTGGTTTTATTAACCACAGTACCTTGTCAGTCGTGTTTACTGAAACTTGCATAAAAGAGTAATTGCTGCTCAAATACACAAGTTGTATTTTATGTATACATAGAATATAAATATTTTATAGAGAAGTAAGATAGATAGATAGATAGATAGATAGATAAAATAAATATATATATATATATATATATATATATATATATATATATATATATAATTAGATAAATAATCAATTTTGTTCATATATATGTATATTTTTTCTGTATGTGGAATTATGGGTAAATCTACCTGTGTAGCTGTATATTTAGAGACGTCGTGTATACATACACAGTCGTACATACATATTTACGATTAAACTAAAAGTGGTTCTTTTGCTCAGTTTGTGCTAACCAATGACGTCATCAATTTCCAACTGGAGATCCCTTCTGGGTCTTAGAAGCAATAAGAAAAAAATGTGGAAAATTCCACTCCAATCGCATTTTCCAGGAAGATGACGTCATGGGTATTTCCTCCTAAATATACAGGTTCTAAATGTCACTTGAATATTCGATGTCAGCTGAACTATTATTAAAACAAACCTTCTGAAGGTCTCCATTGCGTGCTAAACTAACCAATTTCTTTTTCCTCTATTTTGTTTCTTTTTTTTTTCTTTTTCTTTGTTGACGTCACTACGGTAGAAATTTTGAATTATTTTCTCGATCTTTTTCTATATCATCTCCCCTTTTGGGATTTCTTAGTCTTTTTCATTGTCCCGAATATTTTTCTTTCTCTTCCTCCTGTTCTTTCTCCTCCTCTTTTCTTTTCTTTTGCTTCTTCTTCTTCTTCTTTTTTCTCGTCTTTCCCTCCTTTTTTCTTTCTTTCTTTTTTTATGTCTATCTTCTCTCTTTTCTGTCTATTTCTACTGCCTTTATTTTTCGCCCTCTCCTCTTCGTCCCTTCCTCTTTGTCTTTTTTGCTTTCTATCTTCTCTTTTCTCCATCTCTTTCTTCTTTATTGTTTTGTCTACTCCTTGATTCTCTCTTTCCCTTTCTTCTCCCTTTTTGATTCCTCCTTTCTCCTCCTTGTCACTCTTTTTCCTCATTTTCCTTTTATTTCTCTTTCTCCTTTCCTTCTCCACCTTTTTCTCTTCTTCTTTAGCTTTATAGACTCTTCTCTTCTCTTATTTCCTTTTTTCTTTCCTCTTTTTTCTTTTACGATTACTTCTTTCTCCTTTACTTTTCTTCCTTTTTATCTTCAACTTTTTCTTTTTCCTGACCTTTCTCTGTCTCCTTTCCTTTCCCCTTTTCCTCTTCTTCTTTGGTTTAATAGGCTTATTTCTTTCTTAAATTATCTATTGCGTGTTCCTTACTGTTCTTCTCCGTTCTTATCAAACCGATTCTTTTCCTATTATTTTTTCTCCCTTTTTTTCTTATTCTTTTTCTTCGCTGACGTCAGGGAATTTCTCATTTACATCCGTCTATATTGTTATTTTAACTCCGTCATTGTATTTACAGTCGCTCAGTAGTTCCCCAATGGTGACACTGAAAATCACGACATCCATTTCTTTTGTCCTTTCAAACTATTCAACCACAGCAGCAACAAGAAAACAAGTAGGGAATTTTTGTTTTAACTGTTTTTGAATTTTAATACAAAACATGAAATTCCTAAGCCTGTTCCAGTTGACGCATGCCCAGTGGACAAATGACTAAGCCGAAGTGGTTTGACATTTTCCAAACGACAATATTGATCGTTTGTTTTTGATAGGCTGCTCGGGGATTTTTCCCTCTTTCAATGTTATGTTTTCTTTGTTGTTTTCTCTATAGCTTTATTCTGTTTTTTTGTTTTTTGTTTTTTTTGTTTTTTTCTTCTTCGTGCTTCTTTTTCGCCAACTGCTTATTAACCACCTACATGAACGTCAGAATCAGATTAAAACAAAGCCTGCCGGGAGAAACTGAGAGAGGATTATGGCGGTCGGCGAAAACCCACTTCTAGAAAGACGTCCATTGATGGTGACTTCAAAGAATTCTTCCGAAGAATTCGCAATAGGAAAAGAAAAGGTGTTTCCTTCTTGAGAATGCTGTCGAATGCTGAACTATCAAGCGAATTAGAGGAAACTGACGTAGGATATCCTTGTTAAAGAAATATCATTTGTGGATGTGGTTTGTCCTCTATAATAAAGAGAATGAAAAGGACAGTGACATTATTTTCTAAAGATAGTTTTGTTACTAAAGAAATTTTGTGTAACTGAATAATAGTGATTGTTTTATTGCTGAAAAAATTATTCTGATATTTATTTTATTTAATTTTAATTATAATTCATTCCGATATTTAATAATAACTTATTACAGTATGTAATTAAATTTGAACTTTAAAAGTTATTGGAGAGTATTGATTATTCAATTCGCCCCAAGAAAGACGATAATGCCAATAAGGCACAAGTGGCCACTGGGTGTGAAAGACAATGTAAAGATTTTAGAAGGAACTGGAAACAAGGGATAAAACTCTACTTCTTAAATATACCAGGGACGAGTGTGAACTGGACGATAGGTGAATCTATCTACTCTTGTTTTTTACGGCTTATCAACCCTTTGTGGGTTATTTAAAACCGAAAGATATTTTAGATTATAAGAATGAATCTTTTTCTTTTTTTTTACGAGTAAATATTGCATTAAGAAATTTTCCACATACAATTCAACCCATATCGTGAGGAGACAAGAGATGGATTTATATCTTTCCCAAGGGTATTTGCACATAAATGAATGTAACGGACTCGACTGGAAATTGAACTCGGTTCCCTGATTCTCATTATGAGTCACTATCCATTGCACCACTCGCACATCACTTTAAAAGCTAAGGAGAGGATTAAGAGTTTTGTCACCCAGAAGCTAAGTAAAGATTTAAGAAACATGAAAAGTTTCGTTAGAAACAAAGAAAAGGGTGTTGAACTGTTATGTAACATCTGTCCTTGTATGTGGCAGTGAATGCTAGACAATCTGATGGCAAATGAAGTAGAGACTTGAAGCAACAGAAATGTTGTTCTACAGAAGGATGCTGAGAATACTATGGACTGAACATGGGAATAATAGGGAAGTTTTAGGGAGAATCGGAACGAAAAGGAGGCTTATACTTAGAATCATTTAAGAGACAATTGGAACTTGTCGGACATAATGAGAAAGAGGGCTTGGAGAATTTGACGCTCACAGGGCATAGTGAGTGACCTACTTAACAAGCTTGTGTAAATGGACGGCAGAGTAGGGATTGGGAGGGATGTTAGAAAGACAAAGGACAGGAAGTTGTGGAGAGCCATGATCATACATGTCCTGAAGGAATACGGCAAGAAGAAGAAGAAGAAATGCAAAATTTTATGCACCCAACACCCCGCCAAAAAAAAAGACCCGTAAGCACCGAAAGAAATACCTGCACATTGGACGCGGCATTCACAAAAGGCAGTTTTGCGTTATTATGTCAAACCATGGTGAATGTTTGCGGCCGATTTCCATTGTTAATATAAAATGGACGCAGCTTGACACTGGCGTTTGTTTTGCTGTCGATTTCTGGTGTGATTGAAAGCTTGTATCGTTCAGTTGCGAGCCAGACTTTGTTGAATGATGACGTTTTGTTCACAAACGAATGCCCTAAAGATGGAAGATGAAGAATTGTACTTTCGCCATATTCTTCTCAATAAATTCCGGAAAGGAGTAAGTGTCGGAACTGCGACAAAAAACATTCACAAGGTTTATTTGGATTATGATCCAGTTTTCGGACGGTCCAAAAGTGGTTTAGCAGATTTTGTCAGTGTGATTTTAACGTAAACGATTAACCACACTCCGGGCGACCTTCCAACATGGATGAAGACGCTCTGCCTGTCACTGTGGAGAATAAACCAAAGATTTCGCCATTTGAAGTGATTTGGGTTCAAGAAAAACGGCCGATTTTGGCAAATCGAAAAGGTGACATCTTCCACCACGACATCTCAAGACCGCATGTTTTCAAAACAGACCTTGCAGAAATTTAAAGAGTTGAAATGGGACCCCACCCTCCAGCACCCGCTGTATTCTCCCGTCTTGTCTCCTTCCTACTTTTTTTTTTTTTTTTGTTCCAGTCTCTACAGAACAATTTAAATGATAAAAAAATTGACTGTCTACAGCATAAGCGTACAGAAGGTTGGAAGAGGGTGCGACAGCGCCGGGCATCCATATTAGGAGGGCACCCAATGAAAAAGTGAAATAAAAATGTAGTTTATATTTAATTTGAATCAGAAGCCAAGAGACTTGGATTTTAAGAACAATTTCATTCCAATAATAGCAAATTTTTAAAAAGTAAAGCAAATTTACACTTTAAACGAGAAAATTTTACATTTTGCCGTTTAACGAGAGAAAGAAAATAAATTTCAACATTAAAATAAGAAAATGTTATTAAATTTAAATCTGAAATGGGAAAAAGAAATTTAAATATTTAGCAAGAAATGAAAATCAAATTTAAATATCAAACAAGAAAAAGTAATTAAATTAACCAAAACATGAAAATTCTGTTAAACAGAAAAAAAATAAATTTTAAAATATTACTTAGATCGACAAGCCACTGTTGAAAGCGGGGGAGGGTACAACAGCCGAAACGTTTTGATAACAACAATAACGATCGGGACAATAGTCTTTGTGTAAAATATCTACATAATGAATTTTCTTGCCATCGGATGTTTTGCTTAACTTTTTGTTTCTGATATTTTCATCATTTGGCTTTTACCTGAAATTTAATAACCAAATAACGATACGAATTATACACGGAGTAGCGTTGTATAGGATGAAATACAGTATTTATTTTACAGTAAGGTTCACCCTGCACAAGGCCCAGGGCCCACTCGAGGTAGGTTACATTAAGATGTAGTTTATACGGACAGGAGGGGAAGATAAGAGTTAACTCTAGACTTGAATAGGTTAAGATTGTTGTGATCGGGGAAACATCCTCTTGGGAGTTTGTTCCACTTGTCAGTGGTTCGCAGGATGAAACTGTTTGAGTGGAACTTATTTTGCGTCGATGGAATACGTAGGGAATATGGAGGTGGTTTTCTACTTATGCAAGTGTCGGGTTCTAGCCGTGAAGGTTAGTCCTGGCGGAACTAAGGGATCTAGTTCGTCTGAGCACTTTCAAAGGAAATAGCGATAGAGTAGCGTGAGGCGTGCCACATCCCGCCTGTGAGAGAGAGACAGGTTGTAGGGTGAAAGGTAATTCATCACCCACATGGAATTGGAGCCGCTTTTGAAGCCGCTGAAGAGTTAGATTTGGGCAGCTCCCATCCAAATATGACAATAGTACTCCGTTTGATAATCAATTCAGCATTCTCTTTGCCATAGACTCGGAAGACGAGTACAAATTTGTACTTGGAAAATCTGTAATCTCACCAGTTTTGAGGATTTCATTCTATGCAGTTGATTGTATCATGGCCAACTAGTATTATACGGCCCCACTTGTCACATAACAAGCTGAATTCCAACAGGCCGATATAATGTATATAAAAAAAATGTGAATGGGCGCTAAGAAAATTGCTAATCTAAAAGAGAGGTAACTTTAAAAATTGAATTCTTAGAACGTAAATTAACAACGTACAATTACGTAGAATTTATCGGGCGTTATTTCAATTCCCTGGACACGTTTTCAACACTAAAATGCATATCTACACCTTTTTTTTTTTTTTACTAATCCATGAATTATAAACGTCTGTGAGTTACCTCACTTTTATGATTTTCAGTTGCGTATACGCGGCCCGTTATGCAAATGAACGCTATTAGGTAAATTTTTTACCTCATAATCTATTGCATATAAAGACTAAATTATAAAATTTGTCGTGGTATTTTGTTTCACAAAAATGGTTAACAAATGTGTTGCATTTGGCTATTCTAGTGGATATGTTATTAATAGTGAAAAAGTGTCGACATTTTCTTTTCCTTTAGGAAAATCTGACCTCATAGAAAATTTAATAAAATTCATTAAGCGTATTGATTGGTTTCCTAAGAAAATTTCAATTCTCTGTATGAAACATTTTGAAGAGAAATTTATTTTTAAAGGAAAACAAAACTGAATTGAACTGGGATTTACATCCAATATCTACAATACATTCAGAAAAAAATCCCTCTCTTTTGCTCAATAGAAAGGAATTCAGGAAGCCTCCAAAACCACGACTGGTCCAAACTAATAAATTGCATAATTTTATTTCAGCTGTTACGATAAACGATTTTTACTCAATTAAAAGAAGCAAAGTGTTGCCCTAACGGTTTTGAATTTTTAAAAAAGGAAGATTATATTCTAATTTATAGAATAGTCATTTTGACCCTGAAACACATTTTCCATCTATAAAAGAATGTGTTCACGTTGACCAAAACCTTCACATCTAGCATCAGTACAATGGAACCCCTATACCGTTACCACAGTGGTTTATATATAGACATAATGCTAAACTCACAAGATTTAGCCCGTTAAAAAATTTTCCAAACTACATACAAAACATGGTAGAAGAATAACCATACTCAA